AAGAAAGTCAAGGAGAGTTCAGATGAAGCAAAAGGCCTGCACCAACGCTGACCCACTGGAATCCAGGCTGCCGACATTCTATTATGCTGACGGGCAGGCTGCAAGGCGGGCAGGAAGCACGGAGCCCCGCCCCCACACCCCACACCGACAAGAGGAAAATCTCTGCTATGAGTGCGCGGTGTCCTGATCTGGTACCTCCGCTGATCACACCTAAAATGGAAAATACAAGCGGCTTCCACCTCACTGTTGGGATGAAATGAGCTAATTCACACGAACTATTCTGAACAGAGCCTGGCATTCTTAAATATTGATGAGGGTCCGGCAATGCCCCCTCAAATACTCCTCCTTTGAAAAAACTGGAATGGAAGTTAGCAGCTTAGTCGTGAAGTTGACTGCGTGAAACAAAAGTTTCTCTTCTGTCGGGATCCTTTACAGGTTATAGCCCTGTAAAGGGCCAGACAGTAAACGATTTCGGCTCTGCTGGCCACGAGGGCAACTCGGTTGCAACTCTGTCAACTTGAATGCAAAAGAAGCCGCAGACAAAATGCAAACGAACGAGCATGGTCGGGGTCCAATAAAACTTTATATGAACACTGACATCTGAATTTCATGTAATTTTCATGTGTCACAAAATAATATCCTTTTCTCTTTATTCAGCCATTTAAAAATGTAAAAACTATTCTTTACTCTTGGGCCCTACCAAAAGAGGTTGGTCAGAGTTGATTCACAGCGGGCCAGAGTCTGCTGACTCCTGCTTTCTATAAGCTGTAAAAAAGGTATAGGATTCATACGTGAGTAACAATAATCACCCTCAAGCATGATATAGTCCTCCTTAAACTATGACTGGTAAAATCCACTGAACATTTGTCCTAAATGTGGATGTGTTCCAATTCTAATACCTCTTAGAACACTAATGATAACAATATTTATTAAAAGTATTTTTCTTGGGCGCCTGGGTGGCTCAGTCGTTAAGGTCTGCCTTCGGCTCAGGTCATGATCCCAGGGTCCTGGGATCGAGTCCCACATCGGGCTCCCTGCTCTGCGGGAAGCCTGCTTCTCCCTCTCCCACTCCCCCTGCTTGTGTTCCTGCTCTTGCTATGTCTCTGTCAAAAAAATAAATTTAAAAAAAAAAGTATTTTTCTTTATTTGAAAGGTAGCTGGTTATTACCTTGCTACGTTAGGTCCCGGGGCCTTTCCCTGTGAGGCTGTATTCTTCTGGAGGCAGTAGAAATTCTCATACATGATGGGTGCTAGGGGAATTAAGAAAGAAAATATTAAGATGATGGTGTCTTCCATTCTTGACATGTGATGCAGAAGACTAGTAGAAATGCTTAAATAAACCCCCAGCCCTGCCACTCCACTCACCTGGTGGGGTTTGTCCAGTTTTTCGGTTGTTCACAAAAAATGCAATGTCCTTCTCAATGCTGCATGCTTCCAAGCTCTTACGGACTTCTTCATACATCTAACAAAAAGAAGATAAATCGGGACACCCAGGTGGTTCAGTCAGTTAAGCATCTGCCTTCTGCCCGGGTCATGATCCCAGGGTCCTAGGATCGAGTCCCGTATTGGGCTCCCTGCTCGGCGGGAGTCTGCTTCTCCCTCTACCCCTCCCCACTGCTGTGCACTCTCTCTCTGACAAATAAGTAAATAAAATCTTTTTTTAAAAAAAAGATAAATCAAGCTAGAGTATGTCAGTGATAATTGTGACACAGCTTATTAAAACAGTTTTGATGAATGGCTGAATCTCCCAAAGTTTGTTTTAAAAAAGAAAAAGAGACATTCCCAAGTCTCTTTTTCTATGACTCATATAAAGGGATTTTTCTGATGCATATCTGCTATTAAAATTGTTTTAAAGATGGCAAGAAAGGTATCTCTATGGCAGCATAAAAACCTTGCCAGAAAGAGGGTTTTTTATAATACTGATGGCCAAAGGAAATAGATACCAAGACTAATGCCACACACAAATGCAAAGACAATGCATTACCTTGGAAAAAGTTCTAGTCAATTCTACAGGTTTTCTAGGTATTCAATTGTTCTTCTAAAGTGACTGTCCCATCTAAGTGAGGGTGGCTATTTCTTAGACAGAGGGTTGTGATAATTTGAATTCTGATCCGTTTGAGGTCTGAGATCCCATGAGGATTGCTGTGCACAAGTTAAAGCTGGATATTGACCCTGGGAATACTGCTGAAGTAAATCTTGAGCCCTGGCGTGATCATTAGCCTGGGCAAGGGTCATTCTGCTAGTACTTGGCGCTGTCCTGGAGGGACACTCTGGGACTCACAGTCATGCTATAAAATCTCTGTCATCCATAAATTCAACTGCATTTTGGTCGGGGGGACGCCTGCATGGCTCAGTCGGTTAAGTGTCTGCCTTTGGCTCAGGTCATGATCTATGATCTCAGGGTCCTGGGATCAAGCCCTGCATCAGGTTCCCTGCTGAGCCGGGAGCCCACTTCTCCCCCGGGCCCTCTGCCCCTTCCCCTGCTTGTGCACGCTCTCTCTCAAATAAATAAATAAAAATCCTAAAACAAACAAACAAACAAAAAACTGCATTTGGGTCTCCCTCTCTGCTCCCCTGTCCTAACTCTTAAAGAGAAAGTCATGGTAGCAAAGCAGACCAGGAGTCAGGCAGTTAGATGTTTATTTGGGTCTATCAACTCATTGTGTGGTCTTGGGCAAGTCACTGTATCTCTCTGGGCCTCAAATGAGGAAGGTGGACTAATAAATGTCTATGGTTCCTCCCACTCTAATGAATCCTCCGTGGATGCCTTTGACTTACATCATCGCTTGTGACACATTGTTGTGACAGCTGATTCATGTGTAACCACAGTGCATTCCGAAAAAAGTTTATTCGTTCACATTCTTGAACTTCAAACATCTATAGAAACATAACGACATGTCCGTACAGAGGCAGAGAAAAAGGACATTTGTCTAGACTGGCTATGACTTAAGAATCAGTATCAACCCTCATTATCTGTAAGCTTATTGCCCCATTTAGGATAATGCCCTCACCACCGGGGAAACTCATCAACTCTTACTGTAGGCAAAGAATGCAAATGGTATTCTCAAATGGTATTAACACTACCAGGATCGGAGATAGTTCTGAAGGTAAGAGGTAATGACGAACCCAGATAGCAAGGTTCTAACCTGAATTCCAGCTCACATTTCCAACTGCCTAATGGGTTTCTCCACCTGGCAGCTTGCCAGAGCCTCCAATTTCCAAAACTCTGCCCTGCCCCTATGACTGAGTTCAATTGGCAAGACGGTCACAATCGTTGAAGCCAGTTCATGAGAACATGGGGGAACCTGCACTTGCCTTCTATCTCTGTGTATTTTTGAAATTTTCTTTAATAAAAAAGTTTTTTTAAAAGGTCACTCCCTGAATAATAGTTTTTTGGATATAAACAAATACCAACATTTGGAAAATCAAGCTCTTATTCTATAAAGTGGATGCTATTCTATTCAACAGTGGATGTTCTATATTAATGTGTTTTTTAATGTTGATTATAACACTATTACATTTTGAAAATTTTTATAATGTAAAGCTTCACACATACACAAGAGAATAGTTTAATGACTGCCCATGTACCCATCATCAGCTTAAACATTTATCAACTCACAACCAATTCTGTTTTATTATATGCCTACCAAATCAACTACTCCTCAGAGTATTTTGAAGCAAATACATTATTTTACCTGCAAACCTTTGAGTATTTATATGTAGCATAAATTTTAGATTTATTTAGTATTTAGTATTTATTTAGTATACTTAGTATATTAGTATATTTAATATTTATGTAGCATATAAATACTAAAATTTCACATTATTTTTATTATAGAATATTGCCCATAAAAAGCATCATAGACAGAAATGTAATGAATCCCCACATATCAACCACCTAGCTCAGTCAACAATTTTGTCCATATTTGCCTCAGATTCTGTTTAAGCCCCTTGTGTGCTTTCCCCAATCTCAATCACCTTCCTTCTTCCCCACAGATAACCATTTTCCTAAACTTTATCATTCTCATGCAGACTTTTTTAATACGTACGTGTCCATAAAATGTATATGATATTGCTTTGCATTTTTTTAAACCTTAAAAAGGGGGCTTATTCTAGGCTTTTCCATGAGAGTGTGCAATCAAGGAAGTAAAACAGAAAAGAGTGTTTTGGGAGGGGGATAGTGACCCACAGTACTAGAGAGTAGATATATATCAAATAAGATCAGGAACTGCAAAGGCTTGCTGGACCTCACACCATGGAGATTTCCAGTTCCTCAAGTGAGCAGCGGTGAGTGGGCGGGGGTGGGCAGGGGGTACCCCCAGACGCAGCAGGCTAGGATAGGCAAAGGGCGATGATTATGTGAAGACAACGCCTTCAAGAAGGCTGGCTGTGAAGACAGGAGAGGGTAGCAGATGGGAAGCAACAGCCAGTAGGTTCTAAAACCAAGAACGAGCAGAGTTGTGCAAATGACAATAGCAGAAGTTCACATTAAAGGCTGTGCACAGGGGGCGCCTGGGTGGCTCAGTCGTTAAGTGTCTGCCTTCAGCTCAGGTCATGATCCCAGCGTCCTGGGATCGAGCCCCACATCTGGCTCTCTGCTCCGCGGGAACCCTGCCTCTCCCTTTCCCACTCTCCCTGCTTGTATTCCTACTCTCTCTCTCTCTAATAAATAAATAAATTAATTTTTTAAAAAAGGCTGTGCACAGGCATGAGGGAAAGACAGCTGGATGATGGCATCTTGAACCCAGGTGTTGGGACAGGCTCTTGATAGGGCAGGAGCAGCCCCTTTTCAACTAACAGGAGAAAAGGAGGGGTGGGGGTGGAGATCGGCGGTTCTCAAGCTTCAATTTGCATAAGAATCACCTGAGGACCTATTAACACAGGGCTGAGCCCACTCCAACAGTTTCTGCTCAGTAGGGTCTGTAATTGGTCTGAGAATCTGCATCTCTAACATATTCCCAGGGGATACTGATGCTACAAATCCTGGGACTTCATTTTGAGAACGACTGGTAAGAAAGAGATTACGTCTTTATTTTCTGCAGGAGATTGTGAGTGAGGTCATGTGCTAAAAACGAAGCAGGGGGTAATGGTGAAATCGAAGGTGTAAGGAGAGTAAAAACTTCTAAAGCCTGCTCGCCTCCTGCCTGCGTTCTCGTTATCCGATAGCAGGTTCAGGTGAGGCTCTGGAAAGATAATTACTTAATCACCCATTACCTGATTCAGCTATGGCGTGTTTGGACTAACCAAACATGAGAGGAAGGCCTGGAGCAGAGTCGGACACAATGGTCAAGACTGGGACGCGGCAGAAAGATGAGGTCTGGGGGAAAACCTTCCAGTTCCTTCCCTCCTCCACTGAAATTTCTGATTTCTAATTTGCCCTCAAGCAATTCGACGAGACTTGGGGTCCTATGGTAAGGGGGTGGTACGTTTCTCCCCAAGTAGACTCTCCAGGTTCTGGGAGGAAAACTCATCCCCTCCCAAGCAGCTGCCGGTTCCAGTACCTCGCAGGCCTTGATGTGCTCACTCTGCCAGTCTTCGCGGATCTTGTCCAGGGTGCTGATGTGCATCATGTACGTCTTGTCTGCAATGCAGGGGAGGGGCCTGGCTTCAGAAACCAGACAGGACAGGGGCCTGCAGACCCACCGCCCAGCTTGCCTCGATGGAGGAGCGCTGAGCTCTCAAGGCCCCACAGAGTTCTGAACACTGGAAGGCCACATCCATCTCTCACTCTCGTAATATCTTTGTGAATTAAGCACTTTCCTTTTAGACATTAAACCAAGCAAGTGGCAAGAAATGGCTCAAGGGAGGAGAGAGAAGGCTGGCAGGAACCTCAGCCAGGGCTCTCTTTGGCTAATTCGGCCTCAATAGCTTCCTTCCCATTTTCAGGAAAATGATCCAGGGAGAGGTGCGGGGAAGAGAACTATTGAGTTACTTTGGTTTTGGATTTAGAGACTTCTTTTTTTTTTGGATTTAGAGTTTTCTTAAGTGGCCACGGTCATGAGAGGCTTGTCTTCTGCAGGGTATTCTGGGATTAGAGGGCTTTGCAAACACCTGGTTTGGATCTCAGATTTCAGCCATGACAAGGTCTCACAACTTGCCTGTTGCCTTCATAACAGGAAAGGGTTAGCAGGGCTGAAATGGCCTTTTAAGAGCAATGTTCCTAATAAGCAGAGTGAGCGCCTGAATACAAAGCAGCTGCACATGACCCCCCCCCCCCACCTCCACCACTCAATCACAAGTAAGCCCCAAGACCTAAGGAGGGGAGGGGTGTTGGGACAGAAACTGCAGTCCCATCTGCTTCCTCTCACTTTCCCGGGTCCTGATTTGTCCTCTCTCCCTCTTTCTCTCCCTGCTTCCCTCCAGATATCTCAGTAATCCCACTGCCTGTCCATACATGATTGTGTGGTCTACAAAACTACCTTTCCGAACAGATTCCGCAGAATGTCAGCCCCACAAAACCCTCCCCCATCCCCGGGAGCAGCCCCCTCACCAGAGTCTTCTACTGCGGTCTTCAAAGTTGCCAGTTTCACAAAAAGCTGTGAGAACAAAGGAGAGAGGAGAAATGCTGGGCCAGGCTTCCACAGGCCAACCAGATTTACAATGACTGTGAAGAGAACGGTGTAGCCCATGTCTTACCTGTGTTTCTCTCAGCAAATCGTTCAACCGGCCCCCTAATCTTATCACCATTGGGCAACAGCCACGGAGCATCTTGCCCTCTGTTTTCCTAAACACATACCCCTGCCCTCTGGTTGCTGATAATCTTCTATCCAGATTACGTAAAACTGATAATATACCCAAGCAGGAGGTGGCCTGGCTACAAAGGATACTTGAGTTTTGAAGAAAGGTGAAAAAAACCAAGCCCCCCCCCCCAACTTCTTATCACTCTACTCCCTTCCCCCTGGCCACATTTCTCCAGCTCTTCCAGAACCCCAAAACTGTGACAAGGGATTTTCTTGGTCAGAGGATCCTAGTAGCCCAGAGGAAGATATGGTCAGGGACTTAGGTTGCAGCTCCATTTTTAATTAGGATTATTAACTGGCTTGAGTCTCAAATACATAAATCTCAGATTTTTCAGGCCGCCGGCTCTCCCAGGTACCTTTTCTTGTTGCTTTGGGTTTACCAGGTTGGCACTCCGGTGGACAGCCTGCTCTGCTTCATCTTTGTCTCGGCATTTCTGCTCATAGATCTTCTTTGCCTTTGTTGTTAGAAGCCAAAAGAGGACCAAAACAGGTGAGCAGAATGGAACCCTGCAAAGCAGCCACACCAGCCCACTAAGCCCAGCAAAGCACAGGGCACTCGGATTAGCTTTGTGATCACCACTCCATGGTGGGCACTCTGAGGGCAAACACTCTTTCTGATCTCTTTTTGAAAGGTCTCTCTAGCCCTTTTCCAAACTATGCATGTGGTGGCAACCTGATCAAGGAAGTAATCCCTCCTATTTGGCAAGCACAAAGTACATGAGCTTTAAAAACTGACAGAGGGGCGCCTGGGTGGCTCAGTCAGTTAAGCGGCTGCCTTCGGCTCAGGTCATGATCCCAGGGTCCTGGGATTGAGCCCCGCATCGGGGTCCTTGCTCAGCGGGGAGCCTGCTTCTCCCCTGCCTGCCGTTCCCCCTGCTTGTGCTTGCTCGCTCTCTCTCTCTCTCTCTCACTCTCTCGTTGTCAAATAAATAAATAAAATCTTTAAAATAAATAAATAAATAAAAAATAAAAACTGACAGAAACAAAAGATGGGTTTTGAAATAGGCAAAATCAAGATAGGTATGTAACCGTAAGATGTGCAATCCAGCATTTTCATAACATAAGCCTCAGAACTTAGATGCAATCACTTGGCCATGGTAATTATAATTATGCTTCAATATCCTAATGTGCCCACCATAGCAAGTGACAGTGGGGAGGGCATCAATCCCAGCGACTCTGGCACTTAGGCATAGCCATGTTCCTTTTTGATTTAAAGAACTGTTTTAGTTCAGTTTGAAAGTAGGCTGTGGTCTAATCTGGGCCATCATTACTACTATGAGTGTGAAAACAGTTCTCAAACTATAGCTAGTGAATCAGAGCATTTTCTGTTTCAACTATTGAAGCAAAGTCTTAACTTTTTGAACAAATAAAGCTGCGAATCAGCTAATAAATAAAAATGTTGACCCCCGAAAACTGCTTGACTAAGAACGAAGACTCCTTTGCAGAGATGGTTTGTGCTCATCAAATATTTCACATGCATTCTTGCATTTCTCGGCATCCTCTGCAATTCATTTGGGGTTAATCTTTCAGTAAACAGCCATATAATTCTCTACACATGCTACACACACATAGAAATGTCATAATTTTTCATAATTACAAGCACATGAGATATTCATGCAACAATATTCTTTTGTAACAATATGTGAGACATTTCTCTATGTCAAGCATGAGCCCTGTAGCTGAACACTTTAATGGTTGTAAATACACACACTCATGCCATAATTTCAACTATCTCTCTATTTGTGGACATTTATCTTCTTTCCCATTCTTTTATAACATAAAAATACGCTGATTTTATTTGGGTAGTATGAATTTATCTATACAGGTCAAATTCCCAGAAGTTTAGTTGTTTGGTAAAAGAATATGTATATGTCCAACTTCCTTGACCACACCAACTCAAACTCCCCCTAGCAGTATATGGAGTAAATTTCCTCACTCTCACCAATACCAAGCCTAGACAATATGCCTGACCTTTTCTAATACTAGAGGGAGAGGGACAGATACGCTTAAAATAAATGAAAAAATAGATGGTCTTGGTAAAGAAATAGAAAAGCTCAGCAAAGGCAGAGAAGATAAAAAGAAGAACCAAATGGTGGGGCATCTGGGTGGCTCAGTCAGTTAAGCGTCTGACTTCAGCTCAGGTCATGATCTTGGGTCCTGATGTGCATTGGGCTCTATGCTCAGCAGAGAGTCTGCTTGTCCCCCTCCCTCTGCCCCTCCTCCCGCTTGTGCTCTCTCTCAAATAAATACATAAAATTGTTCAAAAAATAAAAAAAGAAGAACCCAATGGAAATTTTAGAACTAAAAAAACACACTAATGGAAATAAAAAACTCAGTGGATGGGCTTAAGAATGGAAGAGACAAAAGAAAGAGTCTCTTTCTTCTGAGAGGAGGATAGAACAATGAAATTACCTAATCTGAATAACAGAAAAATAGGCTGGAAAAAATGCGGTACCTTTGGCACCATAAGAAAAGATCTAACACTCATGTACTTGCAACCCAAGGAGAGGAAGGTGGGCTGAGAAAGCACTTGGAGAAATGAATAGCTGAAAACTTCTGAAACTTGGCAAAAGATGTAAACCTATGGATTCAAGAAGTTGATCAAACCCCAAACAAAATAAGCCCAAGGAAATCCATGTTAAAAACACATAGGTGAACTTCTGAAAACTAAAAAAAAATTTAAAAATATATGACACCTTACCTATAAGGGAAAACCAATTTGAATTACAGCAGCTTTCTTACCAGAAACTACAGAAGCCACAAGAAAGTGGCACATTTTCAAATACTGATAGAAAAGAACTGTCAACACACAATCCTATATCCAGTGAAAATAGCCTTTAACACTGAAAGGAGAATTAAGACATTCTCAGATGAAGAAAAACTCAGAGTATTTGTCGCTAACACACCGTTCTGTAGAATGGCTAAAGGAAGTTCTCCGGGGGTGCCTGGCTGGCTCAGTTGGTAGAGCACGTGATGCTTGATCTCAGGGTCGTGAGTTCAAGCCCCACATTGGGCATGAAGCCTACTTAAAAAAGAAGTTCTCTAAGCAAAAGGAAACTATAAAAGAAGAAACCTTGGAACATCAAGAAGAAAAAAGGACACAGTCAGCAAAAAATGAGTAAATACAATAGTCTTCCTTTCTCTTGAGTTTTCTAAATCATTTTTGACAGTCGAAGCAAAAGTTGTAACACTGATATGGCTCTTCACGTAGGTAGAAGACAGAGTTAAGAAACTTGTATTTCACGAAGGCTTTCTCTTCAATTGTGAGAACGCTTACCCCAGACTGCTCAAAAAATAAAAGTGCTGGGAACAATTATTTCTTGTCCAACACTATTTCTGCAAATTACACTAACATCACTTCCTATTTATCAGTGGCTTTTGAGGTGCTATGCATCATGGGAAAGAATGATGCAGAACAGACCACACACGCCATCAACATTGGTGACATATTCTTTTGTAACTGGGTTACCAGATAGCATGTCACAGTCAGAGAATATCATGATGATGCCTCTGTACAGAAAAGGAGTCACAGATGTTTCAAAACCAGAGTTCACTGTCCCAAATGAACAGACTCATAAACGCTAGAGTGAGGGTGCTAGCAATCTGTCTTAGCTCTGTCTTGTTAAGTGTTTTTTTAAATAAATAATTTAAGGAAGGTTTTTACAGGTTTCAGATCTTGAAACAGGAAGGAGTCACTCAGTAAAATAGGTAAGAAATCAAGACTCAAAGTAGTCACAGAGAAAAAGCTCAAATCCAACAAGATAAATGGCATCATGGAGTACAGATGCTTTTGTGTCTTGGCCTGAAATATTTAAATTGACCTTTCCAGGTTACCAGAAAGGCACTATCATTTTGTTTCCTCTATCTAGTTTCATCCTCAGTCTTACCAAGGCCTTAAAAAGTAGGAAAGTCAAACTTCTAAAGGTTGTTTTCCCAAACCACTGCACTAATTAATATTACTGAAACGTTATTGTCAGGAATATGCTCATACACAGCACAGGATTTCAGAAAATGTCCCCATGACAAAAAGAAGGCAATAAAGTGAGACTCAGGGGTGCCTAGGTGGCCCAGTCAGTTAGGCATCGACTCTTGGTTTTGGCTCAGGTCATGATCTCAGGGTTCTGGGATCAAGCCATGCGTCCTTGGGCTCCGTGCTCAGCAGGGAGTCTGCTGCTCCCTCTCCCTCTGCCCCTCCCCTCACTTGTGCATGCTCTCTCTTTCAAATAAATAAATAAAATCTTTTAAAAATAAATACATAAATAAAAAATAAAGTGAGACTTACATCCATGGTTTTCTTGAACTGTAAGCTCTTTTGTTTATGGGCAGCATCCATTAAAATCTCTGTCTGTGAAGAGAGGACAGCACTATTAATAAAAAACAAATTACTGTTAATGTCAGTTTACCTTGAAGACTAAATGTTCAACGTGGACTACCTCACTTAGTCCTCACACACCCGGAAGGTAGATGTACTATTTATTACCCACATTGCACAAATGAGGAAACTGTAGCAGAGAGGCTGAACAACCTGCCCAAGGTTTTATGGCTGGTTAATGGTGAGGCCCGCCTTTGAACTTGGGCAGCCACCATGGAGAATCATTGATCCTTGGAGCTGTCTCTTCAGTAAACCTGGAATCAAGGAACTTAGGTTTCAAAAAGGATTTTAAAACTCTTGCTAAGGCACCATTCATATTTTAAAAGGGGTCTTTACACTTCTCTGAAGAAGACATACAAATGGCTAACAGACACAGGAAAAAATGTTCATCATCATTAGCCATCAGGGAAATTCAAATCAAAACCACATTGAGATACCACCTTACACCAGTTAGAATGGCAAAATTGGACAGGGAAAGAAACAACAAATGTTGGAGAGGTTGTGGAGAAAGGGGAACCCTCTTACACTGTTGGTGGGAATGTAAGTTGGTACACCCACTTTGGAAAACAGTGTGGAGGTGCCTCAAAAATTTAAAAATAGAGCTACCCTATGACCCAGCAATTGCACTACTGGGTATTTACCCCAAAGACACAGAGGTAGTGAAAAGAAGGGCCACATGCACCCCAATGTTCATAGCAGCAATGTCTGCAATAGCCAAACTGTGGAAAGAGCCGAGATACCCTTCAACAGATGAATGGATAAAGAAGATGTGGTCCATATATACAATGGAATATTACTCAGCCATCAGAAAGGATGAATACCCAACTTTTACATCAACATGGATGGGACTGGAGGAGATTATGCTAAGTGAAATAAGTCAAGCAGAGAAAGTCAATTATCATATGGTTTCACTTATTTGTGGAACATAAGGAATAGCATGGAGGACATTAGGAGAAGGAAGGGAAAAATGAGGAGAAGGAAGGGTGGGGAATTGGAGGGAGAGATGAGAGACTACGGACTCTGAGAAACAAACAGGGTTTTAGAGGGGAGGGGGGAGGGGTTAGCTGGGTGATGGGTATTAAGGAGGGCACGTACTGCATGGAGCACTGGGTGTTATACGAAAACAATGGATCGTGGATCACCACATCAAAAACTAATGATGTATTGTACAGTGACTAACATAACATAATAAAATTAAAAAAATAAAAATAAAAGGGGTCTTTAGTCTATAAACCTATGTCAGCATCCTTCAATGGCACACCCTTAATCAGCAAGGAGCCCAGGCAGTGTGAAGAGAAGAAATGTTTGTAGGACAGCTAAAAGAAGATGTTCTCTTTACCCCATCTAATCCCAGAAAGGTAAAGTACTCTGTTAAGTTCAATTGGAAGCAATTTCTTTGTTGTGGCTGTGATGTAAACACTTTCATTACTCAAAATAATGGAGCAAATAATAAAAATGTATGTCTCAGACATAATAGTAGTGCCCATTTATCAGGTATTATTATGTGCTAAGCAGTTTTCATGCATCACGACTGTGAGTACTCTTATCTCCACTTTCTTGACAGTAAACCGAGGTGGATTTATTTAGCCAAGCAAGTAGTGGAGTTGGGATTTGGGCACAGCCTGACTCCTGTGCCCTTATTCCTAATCAGTACCCTAACCTACCATTGTCCCTTATGATAGCTCTATAAACCAAACAGGTGTATAAAAGACCAATCATTTTGGTCTTTTATACCATGAGATGCAATCATTCAAAATGAGCTATGGCATTACTCTGGTGTAAAATGATACAATGCAAAATAATAATACTGAAGATGATATTCAAATGTGGTTTCTCTTTCTTCTGGAAAAATAAATTTTTGTCTGTTACCAACACAAACATGGTTGGATGGATTTTCAAGATATCTGGATGGAATGTTTGGCATGGTCTCACTTCAAATATACATTTTGTGTAATACATGAAATTCCCCGGGGGTGGGAGGGGCGGCAAGGGGCCTTCAGAGAACAGAGCAGTCATCTTCTAGCCTAGCAGAAATCAAGGGACCAAGAGGTGGCCATGCATCTGCTAATAGTGAAGACGCTGAAGGCACAGAGTACAGACATGAGCCCCACATGCAAAGACTCATGGGAAGGTCCTTGCCATCACAGACAGGAAGCTGTGTCATTCACATGAGTGCCTATATACCTCTGCCAGGAGGAGGAGCTGGGTTTATTTGTTAATGGTTTCTAATTTTCCCAAGCTCCCTGGAACAGATCAGTTAGCAATGTTGGTCTATTCCATGGTCCTTTCCAGTTCAAATATACACATTACCATTCTTCCAGTTTGGGAGCTGCTACTATTTTATAGTTTATGGCCCCAGCCAGGCCTCCTTATGTCCAACTTGCACATAACACCTGCTTCAAGCACCTCTCAGGTGGCTACAAAGTCCTATTAATTAGCCACACTTTTTCCCTTCCTCTTCCTCTCTGCCTTCGAGGATGCCTGGCATTTGTATTCGGACAGAACCCTAGAGAGGCAGTCTGGCTCTCACCTGACAGGTGTGATCCCCGAGGCCCAAGAGGTGATATTGCTCAAGGCCATTCAGTGACACCAAGTCCAGCTCTTTGATTAAAGCTTCCTCATGTCTGTATTCACTTACAGAGTGACCTAATCATGGCAAGTCTTCTAAGGCCAAACCCAATGGAAATCGAATTGTTGTATTATTGATAACACAAAGTAGTGCAAAAACTATCACCTCTGCTCTAAGGTGGGGAAAAGCAGGAGGGCAGGGGTAAGAAAGAAGATATATATAAATGACCCAAATGACCCTGTGGTAAATTACTGAAATAGCTGCTCAGTGGTCTGTGTGTCCGTCTGTCCACATTCAGACTGTATTCAGAAAGCGGGTCACTCTGTATAACCCCAGGAGGTTCCTTTCTTCAGAGATTGCTCCCTACACAGGCAGACCAACATTCTGCCATGATCATCCCAATCTAAGCTGAGAGCATAGAACAGAATGTGGGCACCAGAGGAAAGCCCCTGACCATGTGCTGTCCCTTCAAGGACAAGCTTCAAGGTCTTCCCCCAGGAGGCCTCCCCAGCCTCACTGGTGACATCAGGTGTCCCCACTGCTTGTTCAGGTGGCATCTTCACCTTCCCTACTAGTTAAGGCTCATCATGCTTTATCATGATGACTATGTCACCTCAGTCTCTGGCCATGCTCTACACTCCCTGAGGGAAGGATGACCATGTCTGTATTGTTCACCACCCGCAGAAATCTAGTTGTCTAAGCGAGTACACCATTAACTTCTGATCAGCCATTCTACCCACACCTCCCCTTCCCCAAGTTACTAGAAGAAACCAATTGATGGCTTTCCTTGATAAATGGAAATGGCTTAATTTCCAAAAAGTGGAAGACCAACGCATGCAGGGTTGGGCCAGTGAAAATGGGAAGTTAACACTGACACATTTTCTCCCAAAGTTTGATTTAAAAAAAATGTATTTACATACATTCTAGAGCTTTGTTGTACAACATTATACCTGCAGTCAGCAGTACTGTATTGTATACTTAAAATTTTGCTAAGAGGATAGATCTCGTGTTAAGTGTTCTTTCCACAATAAAGTTAAAAAGAAATTCAAAAAAAAAAAAAAATTTTAAAATGTATTTAAAAACAGAAGTGGCACAACCCAGAGTTCACCGCGACACAAGTAACTGCAAATTTATTAATAAACTTTGGACTCCTCCAAGAAAGCTCAGAAGGCACTCTCCTGCAGCAGAGAGCACACAGGATATAGGGAACCGGGATGACAGCAGTGGATCAAACCCTGGCTCCTCTATTACTTAACAGAATTCGGAACACATTCTTCGAGCTACGAGAATCTGGTCTTTGTAACTTGGTTAGGAGGGGAGTTTCAGAAGCCTTGCAAAATTAACAGAACTCTCCCTGAAATGACCAAAGCTACCGAAGGCACTTGGAAACAAGATGAAATGACCCTCTGCTCCTCTTCCTGGAAATCATATATGCATCGACTCTGATCATCTAAGGCATTTTGCCTCTGAAAAATGGTTATTCCTCTAGGTAGGTGGGCAGGGCTGGCAATGTCAGCAAAAAACAGTGTGACTGGGGCGCCTGGGTGGCTCAGTCGTTAAGCGTCTGCCTTCGGCTCAGGTCATGATCCCAGGGTCCTGGGATCGAGCCCCGCATCGGGCTCCCCGCTCTGCGAGAAGCCTGCTTCTCCCTCTCCCGCTCCCTCTGCTTGTGTTCCTGCTCTCGCTATCTCTGTCTCTGTCAAATAAATAAATAAAATCTTTAAAAAAAAAAACAGTGTGACTATCCAATGGGTGGGTGTAAGATGCATATTATTTCTTTTCTTTTGTTTTTTTTTTTGATGCATATTATTTCTGTTCTGAAAAGTATTTGAGGCCAGATGCACCTCCCAAACCTGATACCTGAAGCGGGAGTGTGTATGAAACCACTCGATATGGCATTCCTTACATGTTAGTGTCCGCCCTTTCTTCCCCACAAGAGGCACAGCTCTAAGAGCAGCTCGGGAAATGACAACAGATGAAGGCAGTCAGGCTTTTAAGATGCTGCACCCACTCCAAATGCCAAGTGGTCACCAAAGAAGCTGGAATTAGACTCTGACTTAGAACCATAGGCAAAGTTGTTGAGATTGATGTACAGATAGAATCAGCCTTAACAGCTGGACATTTTACTGGATACACACACTATTGACAATGACCTCCAGATGGTCAGGAGCCAGGATGAGGATGGATTTCCAAAAAGTCCATGCAGAGCTGTCTGGGGAGATCTGGCTGGAAATCTTTGGATGCCAAATAGGAAAGAGCTTGTCCCCCGCCCCCCATAAGAAGCTGAGGTTCCAACTTTATAGACCAGATATAAAAAAGAAATTGTAGAAGGGCCCTACTTGGCTGCCAGGCCAACCTGGATATATAAGTCATTTAGGAACAAAATAGAAGAGAGTCAGAATAGTGGCTGGTCTAGTCTAAGGAACAGCTTACTACCATAAATCTGGATTTCTTTTCTTGATCCTTATAACTTCTCAAATGTTTGGCAGTTTTATTAACTCTTGCTTACTCCCATCTCCTTCCATGTAGTCAGACAAGAGTAAATCCCATCAATGGAAAAGAGCTTATGTACACCTGCTTTGAAGACAAAAAGGACTTGGATTTCCCAGGGCCTCAGTTTCCCTATTTGTAAAATAAGGTGTTTGAACTTCATGGTCTCTGGGAGAATGTGAGTCTTTTCCACATCTTACCGTTCCCCTACTGCTTTGTCCAAGAGGAGGAGTGTGATCTGGGAGCCCTCTAGGTTAAATGCCTTCAGACTCTACTGAAGACAGAGGGCTCCCCCTTGTCAGTCACAGTCTGAATAGTGGCAGCAGATATGAAAAGAAGAGTAAGGCAGGCCAGACCCCTAAATCCTGCAAGAATTCAAAGAGAACTGACTGGGTGCAAATGGGCACAGAGACATAACCATCTAGATGGGGTCTCCATGTGGTTTCCCAATAAATAATCTCATAGGTTGGTTAAAAGAAGAGCATAGCTGCATGAAGGCAGGAATGAGCCAAGGAGTTTGATGAACAAACAAGCCTGGAGTTTTGTGCCATAGGAAAACCAATGTCTTCACACATACACAAATCCTACCTTTTTCCGTTGTAGCTTTTGCTTTTCCCTGAATTCTTCCATCTTCCTGGCCTCTTCTCTTAGAGTCTGGGCAAGCTGAATGTGACATTGGGCCACACTGTCTACCTCTGCAAGAAGAATTTAAAAAAACAAGGCAAAACAAAAAACAATAAGCAGGATCTACATATGTCTGAATTCAAATATACAAAACCACACATAACATATTCACAAAATCCTGGAGCTAATGGTAAAATTATCCTATTTCACTCGGTTACCAACATTTATTGAGTCCTTGCATGTGCCCAGCATTGCCCTGGCCACCAAGACCAAAGCTAGCAAACCTTTAGCTTAGCCTCTTACCACTGGCTGTCACTCACCTAGTGAGTACCCAGAGCTGAATTGAAAAACAGCCAAGGCCCCAGCTCATGGAGCTTATGTGCTAGAAGACATCATGAAACCCACTACAATTTCAAATTCAATACTTATTTCTCATTAGATGACTCTAACAGTCTTTCCATCTCTAACATGAGCCTGAGCATTTGTAAGAAAGGTCATACGTGAAAATTTTGGCTATCAATAGTTATTTCTAGATAGAAAGATGACTGGTGATTTCTTCCCCTTATTTTCTAAGATCTTTGCAAGGAGTATGGCTTATCTTTATTACAACCAAAAAAATTCCTATTTTACTTGTTCTAAGAAAACAAATTGAAGCATGACATTAAAGCTAGAAAGACTGACAGATCTGACCTAAGAAAAAATTTTAAACTTGTGTGTGTCAAAACAACCTTGAACAAGGTTCAAAGATACATGACAAATTGGAAAAATATTAGCAATTTATATAACAAAGAGGAAATAGCTATATTAAAAGAGCTTCCACAAATCAAAATCAAAATAAAAATATTCCGGGGCGCCTGGGTGGCTCAGTTGGTTAAGTGACTGCCTTCGGCTCAGGTCATGATCCTGGAGTCCCGGGATCGAGACCCACATCGGGCTCCCTGCTCAGCAGGGAGTCTGCTTCTCCCTCTCCCGCTCCTCCCTCTTGTGCTCTCTCTCTCTCAAAATAAAAATAAATAAAATCTTAAAAAAAAAAAAAATTCCAGTATAAAAATTGGTTAAAGAACATGACATTTTTTAAAGATTGGCTAAATGGCCAATAAATATTTGGAAATGTATTCAGCCTTAAAGCTAATGGAAAAAGTGTAAAACTTGAAACCCCAGTAATCTATAATTTTTTGCTTTTCAGTTGGGGAAATTTTTTAAAATGTGAAAATTCTTCGTATCGGTAAGCATGGGGGAAAACAGCACTTTGGGTGGAAGAAAAAATCAGTACAACCTTTCTGGAAGAAGTTTGGCATTTTGTAGGATCAAAACTTTCTTTCCTTTTTTTATAATGATTTCAGTTTTAAGTAATCTCTATACCTAATGTGGGGCTTCAGCTCACAACCCTGCAAGATCAAGTCACATGCTCCACTGAGCTAGCCAGGTGCCCCTCAAAATTTTCAAATGTGAAAAAATGAGGCAGATCTATATGAACTGAAATGGGAAGATGCTTAGATAATATTGTTGAGAAACAGATTGTAGAGAGCTAGGTATAGTATGATCTCATTTATACAAAAACTCATGTCTCTGTGTGTGTGTGTCTGCAATTTAAGAAAGAGAAAGAGAATTATAAATGCATAGAAAAAGGTCTAGAGAGATATATACCAAACTGCTAGCATGATTAAAACATTGATAATTTCATTTCAAAATTGATTTTAAAACATAGGCTCTGCTCCCACCCCATAGAGTCTGAACCCCTCCCACAGTATCATCCTATTCACTTATATGAAGATACATTTGCATATAAGTTTAATTGCATAAAAACATCTGGAGTCATATTCACCAATAACTGCTTATCACTAGGAAGTGAAAGTTCAAATGTTTACCATCTTCTTGCTAGTTGTCTAACTAGTTAGTTGTTTGAATTTTTAAGAAAAAAATATATATGTTTATATTTTTTTAATAAGAGGGAAATAAAATTATTTTTGGGGGAAAAAAGAAAATAAGTCAAGTATGAACAAGTATACAGGTTTAGGAGACCCGGCCTAGGCTGAAGCTCCCTTGGGCCACATGCTTAGCCTAGCAGGGTGTCTAAGAAACATGAAACATAAGAAATATTTCCACCTTGAGAAATGTAGTCATTGGTGGTTAAAGAGGGAAGAAGACACCTTCTATGGAAAAGTTAAGATGAATACCTATTTAGCTAACATTAACAAACATCTAGAACCAGTCAACTAGCTATAAAAACACTTAAAGCACATATCATATCTATGATGCCATGTTAAAATCCTTAGCTTGGAAGCACCCCATACTGTGAAGAACAGAAAGCCTTAAAGGCACTTTCTGGGTAACAGGCCTGGGGACTATTAGAACTGAAGTGGGGGGTGCCTGGCTGGTGAGCTGGTAGAGCATGTAACTCTTGATCTCAGGGTCGTGAGTTCAAACCCCATGTTGGGTGTAGAGATTACTAGGAAAGGAAAGGAAAGGAAAGGAAAGGAAAGGAAAGGAAAGGAAAGGAAAGGAAAGGAAAGGAAAGGAAAAAAAAAAGAAAAGAAAGAAAGAAAAAACAAACTGGACAGGACCCTTTGAAGACCAGAGTGCCAGGGTCTTGCCCTGGATTTCAAGTGTGAGAACTGCAGCTCTAAGTGAGTCAAATGCACACCATGATGAGAGGGTGTGCAGGATGGGTTCTCCTCCTCATTTCAACTCTGCAGAGTTCCTTTTCACCTTGGGAGCTGCTCTAATTTTTTTCTCACTGAATATGAGATTGCTGTTCACATTAAAACCCACTGCTGGTGACAGACAGACCCAGCACCCACCGGGACCGGCAAACACAGTTTAGAGAATCACTTACGCTGCTTAAAGACTTCCAGGGCCCGCTTCAGGGTGCTAAAAAACAAGCACATGCATAGTTTCAGTTCTGGAAATTGGCTGTGCAATCTTATAATGCCACGGCATGCTTCTCTCTGCCCGCATCTCATGGCCTGTCAGCTCAACTTTGCCCGTGAGCTTGGGAAGACCACAAAGGATCAAGACTTTTGCCATTCACTTTCCTCTTTCTTACTCTCTCAATCTCAGGCACAAGCATTATACATTCTCCACTGTCCACCCGGGTACAGCAAGATGCCAAAATTCCTTATGCTTCATTTCCCCCAATGGTATTACAGGAGTTATGGTCCCTTTCTCATAAGAATACCGGTCCTTCGGTAAGATATGATAATGAGAAATATGGATACAAGCCAATAAAGGAAGGGTTCAAACTCTGGCTCCTGATCGCCCCCTGTTTCATTCACTCATCAATCATTTGTGCTTATGGAACATAAACTATGAGCCAGGTGTTGTGGCAGATGTTAATGATTCAATGGTATAAGACAGACACAGTCCCAGACCTCACACTCCAATGGGGGAGACAGACATTAAACACATTGTATTAGTGTTCTATTGCTGAATAACAAATTACCACAAAATTAGCAGCCTAAAACAACACACATTTATTACCTCACGGTTTCAGCAGAGAAAGACCCTGACTCATTTTTCACACCTTCTCTTGATCTCCCCCATCCTCTTATGGCCCACGGCTCCTCCTTCCTTGGAGACCCCCTTGCCTATGGTTTGAGTTCTCCCCATCCTATACTTCTTTAAGTAAACCTCCTTCTGGGGTCACTTGGCCCTGGGAATGTTCTTGCTCAGGCTGCCTTCACAGAAGCAGATCTCACTGGGCTCATTCCAGCCACTCAGGTAGGAATGGAACTCTGTGAATTCACGGTCCCCCAGCCACAACAGCATAAGATCATGGATCATTTCCTATATGTATATATGTGTGTGGCAAGTTTTGCTATTTTGCAAAGTAAAAACCCTCGTCTTTTCCAGCTGGCCACTTCTAGCTCTCACTTTTCCTGCTCTGTTCATTTATCCCAAAAGAAAGGATTCTTCTTTCTCCATGCCTTTTCTCACACAAACATTTCCAATTATTACAAAGATATCAAGCAGAAAAACGTAACTGCACATTCTCCATTCACCTTACCCATCTTATGATACAATTTTTCAAGGAACACAATGTACTAGAAAGTGTCCCTATCAAACAAGTATGCCAGTGGTCCAGAAGGACAAATGAGCATCACTGAAGCACAGACTTACTACTGGAATTAGTAAGAAAGGCAGAGGGTTATGGCAGCAGGTACAACCGGAAGTCCTTCTCCATGGCGAGTTGTGGACTTGAAATCCAGCCTTACCCACAAATTGTTCAGGGTCTAAAATTTTTCCCCACCCTAAGCCACTGGCTGAAGGGCCACTAAAAAGGCAGTCCAAATCTCTCTTTTGTTTGTCATTAGGTTTCTTGTCTCCCATCATCACTTAATTGCTATTTCCCTTGTTCAGGACATGATGACAATCCGGAGAGAGAATCGGAACGTTGGGGGTAGTGGCCTAGCAATGTCCATCTCCTCTTCTCCCTAGTGTTCTTCACTGTGGGAAGAGAAAATATTCTACCACCCTTTTAAATAAGCACTTTGGCCTTAAACCCTAATGTGGCCCATTAGAGACCTGAGTCTCTCAATGTGGTCCAGGAGATGAAAAGTTCTAACTAGTCCACAGAGAAGCGAGTCTTGCACTCTTATCGAGGGCCCCTTCCTAAAGATCATCCTAGAGGTGACAGAAACAGAAGTCACCCAAATGACCTTTCTTTTTTTTTTTTTTAAGATTTTATTTATTTATTTGACAGAGAGATAGAGAGAGAGCACAAGTTGGCAGAGTGGCAGGCAGAGGGAGAGGGAGAAGCAGGCCCCTTGCTGAGCAGGGAGCCCGACTCAGGACTCGATCCCAGGACCCTGGGATCATGACCTGAGCTGAAGGCGGACGCCTAACAGACTGAGCCACCCAGGCGCCCCCCAAATGACCTTTCATATCAACCTTGGAGACACCGTTGCCACTAATCATTTCCGTTGCATCTTTCACTCTGAGGTACACTCTAAGAAGGAACACTGACTGGCTTTTGTTACAGAACACAGAGAACGATGCTAGAGGCTCTCTATGAATCTACTAAGTTATAGGTCAGATGTCTAAGAATATAATAAATATCATTTTGGATCAGGGCGCCTGGGTGGCTCAGTTAGTTAAGTGTCTGACTCCTGGTTTGGGCTCAGATCCTGATCTTAGGGTCCTGGGATCAAGCCCCACACCAGGCTCCACACTCAGCTGGGAGTCTGCCTGAGATTCTCTCTCTCCTTCTCTCTCTGCCTCTCCCCCACCATGCTTGCACTCTCACTCTCTCTCTCTCTCTCAAATAAATAAATAAATCTTTAAAATATATATATCATTTTGGGTCAGACTCATTCTGCTAAATATCAGAGAGCTCAATAAATATCAATACAGGAGCCTATATAACCGCCCATGAAGCCACCAGCCCTGTAGATGAGAGAGTGTTCCTAAAGCCATATCTGTATTCAGTGAGTGACGAAAGAATAAATAAGTACAGAAACCTCACATCACTGGTGAGAACTATAAAATGGTGCAAAGACAATCTCTCAGAGTTGTCACAAACAGCGTGCATGCATGTGTGCATGTGCCTAAGCCCTTCTATTAAATGTCTAGTATAAAATTACATATAGTATAATCTTCCTGATGAAAAAGTATACATAGAAAAAGACTTCAAAGAAAATCTAGAAAGTTTTACTAATGGGTTGTGGCTTCATAGTTCATTGGAGCCTTCTTTCTATTTTTCTGTATTTTTCATAACTGGAAATAAGGGGGAAAAAACAATTATAAACTGTTTTCACCCAATACACGTCACCCCACTGGCCAGCTCTGTCTGCCAAAGCAATGGGGGCTCCTGGCAGTACTGGTCGACCAGGAACCCGGAACGAAGCGTGGCACCTACTTGATCTCCAACTGTCCACATGGCTTCTTCCTGGAGAGGTTGAGAAGGTCTTTGCCATATTTCTCTTCAATTGATGCCCTAAGGGGAACAGAAGAGAGAGCTCTGAGTCCTTCTTGGTGCTGATTCTTAGTTAAAACACATGGCACTCCCCTCGAGGGCAAAACTGCACCTCTGACGGGAGAAGCTCAGATATAACACCATTCTCTAAAATGCAGAAGTCCCTCTACTCAACAGGAAGAACTGCGAGAAGACCAGTGGTCTTCACCTCTAAGTCGCCAGCCTGGACATCACGGGCAAAACCAGACATGGCCCCCTGACCAGCACAGGCTAGGGCATTACAGACTAACTATTCAAAACTATGACCCAAGGATTTATATACCAAAAATTGATTTTTATTTATATTTATATACATATATTTAAGTGGCGTAAGAGATACTTCCACCAAATGCCACACTCCTAAGGCCCACCCCTCCTCCCATGTTCTCGAGGAGTATCCTTTTAACCATTCTATAGAGTTCCTCATTCACAGTCAATTCAAAGATGCAGCTAAACTGTAGCAACGAAAGGGATAGAATATAAACTCTGCAGTTGGCAGGTCTCACAAGAACAACAGATCGTTACTTGGTGTAGTATGGTCTGTCTAATGTGCCAAATATCCCCATTCTCCCATCAGTTACAGTGTCCCAGGTACTGCAGCAGGAACACTGCAGTGGGTGCCGGGACCTGATCTTCCTAGGTTTGAAACCAGATCTATCCTTTCTTAGCTGTCTGACCTTAGGCAAGTTACATAACCTCTCTGAGCCTCAGTTTCTTCAACTGTAAAATAAGGATGATAAAACTTACCACACAGGGTTATTAGGAGAACGAACAAGATAATGTATGCAAAATATATGGTAGCTTATATATGTATCTGGCAAGCCTTCAATAACTGGCAGCTATTAATATAATCTCACTTAATTGCCTCTAGCTACTCGCTGCAGGATGATGATCCTCATTTTTATATTCCTCGTTTCCTGCTCATATCAGGAGCTTGGTTTGTAAGCTGGCCCCATCCGGGGTTCTAGGGGTGAGAGAGTCCATGCGCTTGAGTACCAGGGACAAAATAGGTTCATTTCAGGGGCACCTGTGTGGCTCAGTTGGTTAAGTGGCTGCCTTCAGCTCAGGTCATGATCCCAGGGTCCTGGGATCTAGCCCTGCATCGGGCTCCCTGCTCAGCAGGGAGCCTGTTTCTCCCTTTCCCTCTGCTGACCGCTCTGCCTACTTGTGCTCTCTCTCTCTCTGTGTCAAATAAATAAAATCTTTAAAAAAAAAAATAGGTTCATTTCATTGTTAACCAGTGGAAGACCTCAAACTGGGATGTTCTGTAGAACCCTGCTTTTAGGGGCGCCTGGGTGGCTCAGGAGTTAAGCGTCTGCCTTCAGCTCAGG